AAAAAAAAAAAAAAAACCCAACAAATTTAAATAATTATATGGTTATGGTTGGCAGGGTCTGCAGAAATCAATCTCTGGTTGTTAGAGCACTTGGTAGGAACTCAAAAGTGTTGGATAACTGAAATTTTTACACCCCCAAGAAAACAGGGTAGATTGCGACATACTTTAAAAAAATTTTTTTTTAAGGATTATTTATTTTGGAGAGAGAAAGAGGCACAGTGCAAGCAGGGAGGGGCAGAGAGAGAGGGAGAGACAGAATCTGAAGCAGGCTCCAGGCTCTGAGCTGTCAGCACAGATCCCAATGTGGGGCTTGAACCCACGAACCATGAGATCATGACTGAGCCACCCAGGCGGGACATGCTTTTTTAAAAAACTGAAGTATAACTAACGTGGTATTATATTAGTTGGGAAATATTCTCTAAACATCAAAACCAAGATGATGTTTTCTGTTTAAAATGAATCCTAAAAATAAGAACAGGGGTGCCTGGGTGGCTGGGTCAGTTGGGCGTCCAACTTCAGATTGGGTCAGGATCTCAGTTTGTGGGTTCAGCCCCACATCGGGCTCTCTGTTGTCAGCACAGAGCCCGCTTGGAGCCTCTCTCTCCCTACCCCGCTCTCTTTTTCTCTAAAATAAACATTAAAAAAAAAAGAATGAATAATCCTATCATAAACACAACCAAGTACTTCCATGGCTCAAGAATACGTTTGCACAGAGACACTATAGAGTTCTACAGAAGACTTTTTTAAGTGTGCTGATTTAAATGGAAAAGATTGCACTTCCAACAAAATCTTGAATAAAGTCATTTGAATATCTTTTCCAGAGGGGTTGGAGAAAAACGAGACAATGGATATGCTTTACTCTGAAAGTAAATTTCTCTTTATTATGGAGAAGTTGGCTTTCTTCAAATCCACAAAAACAGACATCTGAAGCAGTAAGATGCAGTTGGTCTTTTATTTAATGAATAAATATTTGACACTACTACGTGCTAGGCACTGACTTAAGACATAAGATTTTCAATTTCTCTAGAGCCCAGGCTAAGATTTTCAGTTAAACCTACATCTATTACATCTTTCTCATTCCCACCTGGGCAGTCCAGAAAAACACATCAGAGTTTTAAAAACTAAAGTTAAACAACACAACTTCGAAAGAAGCAGTACTTTTGAGTTATCAAAACTCAACAACTCTAAACTCCACAATGTCTTACAAAGTTACATCCAATCACTAGTTTCAACTACACTCTCACCATGATTTGAAATGTGAGAAGTAGGCAGTTCACACAAAGCAGCATATAAAAACTCACAGAAAAGCAATTCTGAAACAAAACATGAGTCTGCCAGAACCAATCTGAGATTTACCTAGATTTAGATATTCCAAACTGCAGTTACTGACATATCAGAATGCCAAGAAATAAGTATCTCCTGGTTCTGAAATCTCTCCTTTTCTCATGCAAAATTTACCAAAAAGGGAAAAAAATACAAAATCCAAGCCCTTAGAAACTAGAATTTCCAAACATCTGAGTGTTTATAACTGCTTAAAGATGTTAAGTGTTCAATTTAGAGTAACACTGCCCCGCCAAAAGACGGCCTGTTGCTGGACAAACAGTAACAAACAAGAAAAACAAAAACCGTTCAAAAAGCCCTCCATATGCAAAACCATAAAAAGGCGGGAATTTCATTATTTCAAATTTTGGTTAGAAATGAATATGTCACAAATTGCCCTCCAGGGAGCGCTCTGGGCCTCGGTTACCAGTCATTTCAGTTAATAAAGCGGGAAAACGTTCGAACGTAACCTACAGCAGTTTCAGGCTGACCCTCAAGGGCTTTCGAACCCGGCACAGAAGTCGCCGTCGAAATACCACTCTTGTTGGCGGTCAAGGAACACCAAGGTACCCGCGCGCACCAATCACCCCCGTCACAGAAGAGCAAACGCCAACTTCACACCTTCCAGACACACAGCCGCGAGCCCCGCGACCCCAACTTCGCGACTCTCCCCTCCAGCGACCTCCCCTTCCAGAGCTTGCAAGCCTGCGGCGAAGGAGGCAAAGGAGCCGAACCCTGCGTCCGCAGACCCAAAGGCCAGCCTCCCGGTTGGGCGCTGGGGCAGCCTCGCCGACGAGGAGGCCCGAGGGGGCGCCAAGGAGGGAGGGCGGCGAGCGCGCGCGGGCGGCGGAGGTGGGGGGAGGAGGGCGACAACCGCCAATCGCCCGCCTTTGTGGCCCCGGCCGGGCGTCCTTACCCTGCCGACGGCGGCTCGGCTGCGGCCTGCGACCGCGGCTCCGGAGCCGAGGACTGGGGTGGGCTCGCGCTCCTCGTCGCTGGAGAAGTCCGGAGGCCCCTTGCTGTTGGCGCCCGCGGCGAGCGGCGGCCGGTTGCGCGCCGTGAGGTGCTGCAGGTAGAGCTGCACGTATACGTCTTTGCGCTGCTCCCCGACCGGGAGCGTCACATTGTTGGCGACCAACTCACTCTTCAACTTCTCTTTCGTCAGGACCGAGGGGTCCTCCAGGAACTCCGGCATCTCCGCGACGAATCCCTTTCCCCGCAGCCTTCACACCCGCCGCTCACGCCGGCGCGCTCGCTCCTTGCCCGGGGGCGGGGGGGACCGCGCTGTCGCCTCTGAGCCTCACGGCTCCCGCCCGGGAGGAGCGCCGCAGAGCAAAGCAAAAACTCCCACACACAAAGCAAAGCAAAAGCCAGACACAAAAGCCCACCGAGCCTAAGTGCGGACCAAGTGCGGCTAAGATAAGAGCCCCCACTAACCCCAGCCCACACACTACACAAGCGAGGAGAGAGCAGCTTGTTTCGCCCACGCCCCAAGAACGCGCGCCGCCATTGGCCCGCGGTGGGAGGAAGCCGAGCGGTGATTGGTGGGAGCCCTCGCGCGGGTTCCATTAGCCACGGCACGGTGCGAGAGGTGGTAGAAACGCAGTTTAAAAGCCGCTCGGGCGGGAGCCCTGGAGGCTTGGCCCGTTTCTGTTTCCCTTTTCTCCACCCTTCCCCTAAGACGCTGATAAGGGACAAGTAGTACTCTTCTGTGTGCGGTTTCCTTCCCCCGCCCTGCTTGAGAAGAACCTTTCCTCTCTAGGGTCGATCGCCTTCGAAGGGGCCGAGTTTCACGCCAGCTGCGAGGACCAGGGGCTGGGCCTTTCTCAATCGTAGGACACTGATTTACAGAAGAATGACCGCAGCCTTTCCTTCCCCATACACTCGCCGTGAAGGGAAAGAAAAGGAGCGACGCGTGCTCTTCGGCACTCCTCTTCCTTGATCTGTTTTACCTGTGGGGAGCGAAGGAGAGAGCAAGCAGTTAAATCCCTCTCTCTGCTTGCGAAGGCTTCTTTTGTTCCTGAAATCCAGGAAAAGCAAAAGCTTGACTCCTGGGCACTTTAAAATGCCCCCGAATTTGTGACAAAATTGTATCGTCAGATATTCTATTTGCCTCTTAGCCTACAGGTTGGGACGTTTATAAATTATTTAATTTTGAACAGATGGGGCACAACTGCATTTTTGTTGAGAGCATCTCTGGATTAGATCCTTATACCCATAAGTATCTTACCATAACTTAAACCTAATGTTAAATACAGCAAGACGAAGCGAAACATCTAGGAATACTTTAATGGGCAACTTAAGATAACGGAGATGGTGCATACCTAGATTTTAATCACAGAGGACCCTGGTGAGCTATAATCAGGACGGGAATCCTAATCAAACCCATATTACTGATCCATATAAAAAGTCTCAAATTTCATGAAGTTAAAATGTCTTCCTGAAAGCAAATGCCACTGATGACAAATACTTGTGTTTCTTACGAATATAGATGTTCCAAGATGCTTTCTTCCAAGAAAGAAACTGACCTGAATCATTTCCCTAGAATTCTGACCTCCAGACTGCTTTATAAGCTGCTTAAAAATTTTTTTTAAATGTTTATCTGATTTCTGCATGGTTGTTTAAATTTGGGTAAGTTTTTTAAAAATGCCTTCACTAAAAATGTTCCCTGTGAGTTAAGTCATTTTATTTTGCTCAAATTGAGGAGACATTGTTTAATGATGGATTCTTTAGCTAGGGGCAATTTTATATTTATTTTCTAAAACTCAGTTTTTACAGATATTTAAGCAATAGTAATAAGCTCAGTAATACAAATTAAAACATTTTAACTAGCAATTTATTTTGTACATTTTTAGGATGTTTTGTGAAAGTTATCCATTTTTCTCCCCATGGCTTCCCTGGGCACATAAGCAATTGCATTTATCTTCATAGGCGGAACTGAACTGAGAGGCAAAGGACCATGAGTTTGCACTGACTGGTAACCCCACAAATTAATTAATGCACGTGGAACAGTCCCAGTCTGCATAATCTCAGCAATGATGGGTCTATTCTACCCTAATTGAATTAGCAAATTATCCTGCTATATTGTTAACTTGCTAGGGGAAAAATTTGGCTCTGGCCTGACTGTACTAATAGTTTTTAAGAGGTAGGTTTTGCTGCTGTACCTGAAAAGGGTCAGAGTTACCAGGGCTATATAGGATGTGACCAGGGTGGGACATAGAAGAGTTCTGGGCTCTGACTGCTGCCCTGTCGTCTGAGGATACCTGAGCAGCTTGGTCCCTGAAATAGATCCTTAGAGAAGGAGGCATCACTGATCCCTGAAGATAATATTCTACCTAAATTTTTATGTGAGTAGAATACAATGCTGAAGTCACAGAACCACCTGAGAATGGGGCAATGGCTTTTTTCATAGGGTCCTTGCACCAGATATTTTTCCATTTTCTACGCAGTTTAATCCTTGGAAACAATAATTTTTCCTGCTTTGCAACCACAAACCAAAAAAAACCCACAAAAAAATCACCTGTTGAGTCTGCAAGGTGTTTGTGTTATCAAGTTGTTTTAAATAGACACAATACTATGCCTTACAGGCCAACATTAAAGAATGTAATTCTCAAAGAACTGCATTCTAGGGGGCATGTGACTCTTGATCTCAGGGCTGTAAATTCAAGCCCAGTGTTGGGTATAGAGATTACTTTAAGAAACAATCTTTAAACAAACAAACAAACAAACAAAAAAACCCACTACATTCCAGATGCTTGACATGAATATTCCTTGAGCAAAAACAATTTTCATTCCCTTTCATTAATTAACTCTTCTTTCTTATCTCTAGACACTATCAATTGGAGGTTACTTGCAGATTCTACAACCATGTCAGTAGACATGGTTGATATCGTAAGCTATCAGACAGTGAGATTGCCTTTCTACATCACAAAGTCATGACTTGTCAAATTCAGACTTGGAATTGTCCTACACACATCAGGTATATCCCCAGAACTATTAATTTTTTAGTGATGAAGGTAGCTTTTGCTTTTACTCTGCTGTAGGGCTCCTAAGTAGAAGTTATTTTTTTCTTCATACTCCATGTATCTTAAGACCAAGAGGACAGAGCCTGGGTGGCCTCTCTGTTCCCAATGACTACTTCAAAACTATTTCTCCTCTTTCCTCCTTCAAAAACATTTGAAGTTTATACACCTGACTAAATCACCCTTTACCATCTTTATCATTTATCAACCTGACCACTCTCCCTCAGATATTATAGGCTGTTTTTCCTTGCTCTAGGTTTCTCCACCATCCCTGTCTATATTCTCTGTGAATTTAACATATTTACAGATGGACCATGCAACCAGCACTTGGCCTTTTATTTATTTTGTGTTTATTTATTTATTAAAGTAATCTCTATATCCAACATGGGGCAAACTCATGACCCCAAGCTCAAGAGTCACATGCTCTTCCAACTGAGCCAGCCAGGCACTCCTAGCACTTGGCCTTTCAGATCTTTGACCTCTTCATCTCCAACAATTTGTTCCTCTATTCTATTTCATCCATCCACTCCAAGTGGTAATATTCTGAACAGTGTCATCAATAACTCTTTTACCTTCTAACTGTCCATTTCAAGCATCCCAGTTGTCAATCACTAGCCTTTTCCCCTCAGCTCATTTAATATACTCTCACTGACCTATTAACACCCTCAATCCATTAAGCCCAACACTTAAACTAAAGTCTATTAATATGCTTCTGACATCATCAATACTTCCAACTCACCCAACGTAGAGTCCTTGATCAATCCTTGTAATTGCTCTTTTGCAAACATTTTCAACTCTCTTACCCCAATGTCTCTATCTTTCTCACTTGGAGGAACCTCAAAGTAGAAACCCAGTCTTGCTTGGACTAAGCCCTGCTGAAACAAACTTTTCCATTCCATTGCTTGCATCCAAGTAGCAAAGATTGCTATAGAAAAATCATACGGAAGGACTGACTGGTTTTAATTTATGACCTTATACCTCATGGGAGCACTTCAACTGGCTGGCAAAACTATTCATTCTCTGGATGAATCATTCATACTTTGACTTCTCTACTCACATCTCTCATATCCTTTCCCCCACCTGTCCTCATTTTCAGCCAGAGAACTTGCATCATGTTTGAGAAACTAGAAACCATCTACAGGGAATGCCTCAACTTCAGAAGGTCACATCTGTACCCATTTGCTCTTGCATTTTTCTTATTTCTTTTTTTAAATTTTCTTTTTTTTATTTTTTAAAATTTACATACAAATTAGTTAGCTTATAGTGAAACAATGACTTCAGGAGTAGATTCCTTAATGCCTCTTACCCATTTAGCCCATCCCCCCTCCCACAACCCCTCCAAGCAACCCTCAGTTTGTTCTCTATATATATGAGTCTCTTCTGTTTTGTCCCCTCCCTGTTTTTATATTATTTTTGTTTCCCTTCCCTTATGTTCATCTGTTTTGTCTCTTAAAGTCCTCATATGAGTGAAGTCATATGATTTTTGTCTTTCTCTGACTGACTAATTCCACTTAGCATAAAACCCTCCAGTTCCATCCACGTAGTTGCAAATGGCAAGATTTCATTCTTTTTGATTGAGTAATACTCCATTGTATATATATACCACATCTTTATCCATTCATCCATCGATGGACATCTGGGCTCTCTCCATACTTTGGCTATTGTTCATAGTGCTGCTATAAACATGGGGGTGCATGTGTCCCTTCGAAACAGCACACCTGCATCCCATGGATAAATGCCTAG